CTCTGTGAACAGTAAACAGCCATCAGTGTGCTAATGATCCATTGTTATGCTGATGGTCCTTCTTGAGCATGTGATCAGCTGGTTTTGGTTGTCAGCAGCAAAACTGGTTGATCCACCCTGAGATGGTGCTATTTAAGAGACTGAGCTGAATACAGCTCCTCAGACTGAGGAAGTCTCTCGGATGAGAGACGAAACGTTTCTACATTTTTTTGTTGATTTGCTTTGTTTTTTTTTTTTTTGAATGTCCAGAGGACCAGATTAAACTTTTTTAGATTTTTCTACCTGGATTATTGAGCATGCATCAGGAAATACAAAACAGGTTGAGCAGAGTAAGTAAAGACAGCAGTAGAGTGAAAATTGTGGTCAGTTTGTCCTCCAGCAGTCTAAGCCTATAGCAGCATAACTAAGGGACAGCTCAGGAAACCCAAGCCGACCCTAATTATAGGATTTAGCAAAAAGGAAAGTCTTAAGCCTAGTTTTAAAACTGGATAATTATAGTTGATGATAAATAAATGATAAATAAGTTCAGTGCTTGAAGAAGAAGTGGTGAAGAAGATGTGATGTAGAAGTAGTATATGTAGAAGTGAAACTTAATTGTATGTGTTACATATAGACCTTGGTCCACCTCTCGGAAGAGGGGTGGTCCTAACTCTTTGTCATGTTTGATAAAATCTAATGTCCATTTTCTCTGTCTGCCTTTAAAAGTTACTCTTCTTTTAAAAAGAGAAAAACATAAGACAAGTGATTATCTTAAAGAGAGATTACTTAAACTTACATTTTCATAAACAAACATTCAGTTCTGAAGCTTTTGAAATAACATGCAATGTTCATCAAAAATTTGTCGCTGTTCATTTCCTGAAAAGAAAATGTCATTTTAAACAAAGAGTTTTTTCATGTGTTATCTGCATGGGAACCCATCCTGGGAGTAATACTCCTTTTTGTTAAAAGTTAAAGTCTCAGCAGATGTTCTGTTTCATGGGAAATTAGTTCATATTGGCAGTGAAGTTAACACAGTGATAGTTTTTTTTATTACACTTTGATTAGTGTCAACTAAGAAGTTTGTGCTGGGTTGAACACCTGTAAAAACAAAGTCTGTTTGTTCCTAAGGGAATAGATGTACCTTATTTTAACAGTTTCAAACACAAAACACATGAATGATGTTTGAGATGAGGTGAACTCTTTTCCTGTTTAAGCTGAGCTGAACTGTTTTCTGAGATGAGGTGTTCTTTTTCTGCCCACTCACCGCACGCCGGGAGTAAATGTGTTTCTCCACGACAGCTGCAGCCTTCACCAAAACGGCATCTCACTCAGAAAGCGCTCACGCCTCCTCTCAGTGTGCGCCGGCTCACCTCAGCTCTAACGTGAGACCGCAGCCTGGGCTCAGCACAGAGGCACACATACAACATTTTTCTGTGAGAGCCCCCCCACCCCTTGGGTTCCCTCCGGAGAATCTCCGGAGCGGGTGATGGCAGTAAGGGTTTTTTAGTCTGGCTGACATTCATGAGAAACATGACAACACAAAATGCGTGCCCGCTCTCCAAGCGTTACTCAGAGTGGCAGCGAGTGTGTTCCCTGGACAGATGGACGGACCATCTGATCAGCAGGGGTTACATGCTGCAGTTCGCAGCTCAACCCCCACCGTTCAGAGGGGTTATAGAGACGGTTCTGTCTTCTCTAGAACAGAGCTTGTCTCTCCAGTTAGAAGTTCAGGAATTTCTGATGAAAAACGTGATTTCCAGAGTTTCCAATGGAGAGGAAAATTTGTTTTTTTTCCTCTCACTACTTCCTGCTTCTGAAAAAAAAACGGAAGGATGAGACCCATTCTCGACCTGTTCATGTTCAACAATTCGATCATGGGGAGACAATTCCACATGCTGACAATCAAACAGCTGCTGGAGAACTTCACCAGAACAACTGGTTCACCTCCATAGATCTGAAGGGCGCATTTTTTCACATTTCCATCATTCTGAAACACCCCACGCACTTTCTCAAAATGCGTGGAGACGGCTCTGCAGTCGTTACACATGGCAGGAATGAGAATTCTTTTTATCTGGACGATCTGCTTTTATTAGCTCGGTCCAGATAGGAAGCAGTCGCACAGACCAAAACGCTAGTGTTACACCTGGGGTTTTCTATAAACTGGGAAAAAGTTCAGTTCGTCAGTCCCAGATGATTGTTTATCTGGAAGTGGAGCTAAACTCAACCACAATGAGAGCCCGTTTTTCAGAGCTGAGAGCCGAAGCTCTGTCAGCTCAGCTCCGCTGTGTCAAACCCTGTAGCATAGTGACAGTTCTGCCTGTCATGCGACTCCTGGGGCGATGTCAGCGGCCCACATCATGGTTCCGCTGGGCCTACTTCACATTAGACGCCTTCAGAGATGGTTCGCCCACACATAGATCTTGTGCGCCAGAAGAGGCAGATTATCTTTGTGCCCCGCTCTGTGAGAACCAATCTGAACAGTGTTGCCAGGTGATAAATGTAGGATTATCGTAATAGAGACATAAAATTATCGTAGTTTGAGGGAAATTATCGTACACCCAAAATAACAAATCTATTGATGCACTATAGTAGTGATGGGTCCGCTTCCAGACCGGCTCTGCTTCTTCTTTTCTTTTTTTCTTTTCTTCACTCATGGGGCGGGCGCAGCGGACTATTCAGTCAATCATGGCCATTGTTCTGAGGCAAAAGCATACACGTCACTCATAGGTAACATTTAGAAAAGCACGATTGGCTGGAATTTCCAGCCAATCGTGCATCTGTTTGCAGACACAGATGCCTTCAGGGTTCACAAAAAAAACTCCAACAGACAGTTGCGACAGGCTGATGACAATCGATTACAACCACACATTCATGGAATGGTCAAATTGTCATATATTTGGCCTTTTTTGGGATTATTGATAGTACAGAGGACAAAATTGTTGTACAAATACAATAAATATCATACACCTGGCAACACAGGATCTGAATCACTGGGGAAACCCCCTCATTCTGTCAGAGGGAGTTCCCATCAGCAGGCCTACGTCACACGTCTCAGTTTTCACAGACGCGTTCCTGTCAAGCTGGGAGGAATGTGTCTGTCACAAGCAGTGGGAGCACAGTAGCTGGACTACAAGTCGCTTCACATAAATGTGCTAGAATGTTTCACGGTTTGAAACGTGACTCAGCATTTTGCCCCCTGCTGCGGGATCAGCATGTTCTGATCCACACAGACAACAAAGTGATGGCAGTTTACATAAACCGTCAGGGAGGCATGCACTCAGCCCAACTGTTACGCATCGCGAAACAGCTGTTGTGTTGGGCACACAAAAACCTGCTCTCCATCAGAGCAGTGTACAGGTCCTTCTAAAAAAATTAGCATATTGTGATAAAGGTAATTATTTTCCATAATGTAATGATAAAAATGAAACTTTCATATATTTCAGATTCATTGCACACCAACTGAAATATTTCAGGTCTTTAATTGTTTTAATACTGATGATTATGGCATACAGCTCATGAAAACCCAAAATGCCTGTCCCAAAAAATTAGCATATCATGAAAACGTTCTCTAAACAAGCTATTAACCTAACCATCTGAATCAACGACGTAACTCTAAATACCTGCAAAATA